TGGTCATCACGATTATACGGTAGTTTTTTTTTTTGAGAAAATTTGCTGCTGGATTTATGAGGGGTTGTTTTAGTTGATTGAAATGACTTTCAACATTTGGTATCGTTTGTCGGAGGGATTGTTCAGTTTTGAAGACGATCAACATATTGAGAAGTTCAAGCCGTATGTTCAGAGGTTTGTAAAAAGCCTACTTGCAAGTGGGATACCAAGTATCATAGTGCTGTTTCAGGTACTTGGCTGCCCTTTATCGTCATTGTCGGTACGATACCGAAGAAGAGGGCATACCGGATCGCGATGGGGACTTTGCTGACTTCAGGCTGAAGGTAGTGGTCATACATTTTCATAGATTCATCGCTTTCTGACGGATTTCGATCTCTATGTCGAATTTTAGGTGATAGAAACCGTCCGAGATGTAGTATTTGTTGTCGGAACAGAATCATGCGTGACGAGTGTGGGTCCATTTGCTAATTGACGAAATTTCGTAATTTTTCTCTCTTCTACCAAACATTTAGATGTATAATATGCTGAAAACGTGTAGTCAGTCTGGTACATGGGATGAAGCGGAAGCTGCTCTCTTCATAATCTCTACTGTTATCAGTAATATCATCCCGTGAGTTTCTTTTACAATATCTTATTCGCTCTTGAGTCTTTTTCTCCAGGGAGGAGAATAATGTGATCCCTGAACTCGTACAAGCCATAGTGACACTTCCTATGACGTCTCATCCGGCTTTACTTCTCACATCTGTAGATCTGTTGGGAAGCGCAAGCGAGTGGCTTAGTAAAAATACTTCCTTTTTAGGTTTGTTTCATTTAGTCACCTAATGCTGCATCTGCATCAGATAATTCACCTTTTCTTGTTCAGGAAAAGTTGTCGAATGGTTGCTTCAACTTGCTGTGACGCCTGCGTTTGCCGCCCCTGCTGCAGATTCTATTGAAAAGGTAAGAACGACTGTTTTGTTTAGTCATGCTTATGTGTTTTCTTACGAAATCCGCTCAGATTACCTTGCGATCGTCCGCTGAATTGACTCATCTGATCCCTCTGCTGGTGCAACTTATACCTCACCTTGAATCTTCCCAAAGCCATGGAAAGAAGATGGAAACCGCAATTTCCAGCTGCTTGAAAGGTTTGATACTTTTACCTGGGTCTTTAATTTGCGGCTTACCATTCTCTTAAGCTTGTACCATGCTTATCATGAACCTTCCTGCCGAAGAGATACGAACTCGACTTGTAGAATTATGTCAGCCTATCATCCAACGATTGCAGATGGTTTGTTCACCCAATTACTATCTCTTTTTATTCTCTAAAGGTCCGTGTTCAGGTGCTCACGGCTACACCTGTCGTAGTGGCAAACAACGAAAATGAGAAATCAGCAGATTCTTGGGCGCGAATTGCTAGTGAGCCCATACTATGGATTGATCGCATCGCCACAATATTCCGAGAAGTGCGACCATGGAATGGAGGGGTCTTGGTGAGCGTGCGTGGTTAGAGTACTATGCACACGATTACGAATTGAATTTTACATCTTTAAATGCTTCACTTCTACGGGTACCTTTTTCTAGCGAACGGTCAACAGCTCCGATTCTCCTGATGCAGCGCCTTGGTTGGATATTGCTACTGAACTATACAAAGTGCTTTCTGAGGCACTGAAACGATATGAAAGCACGGCAAGGGTGGTGGAACATTGTTGTCGGTCGATCAGGTAGTGAACTTAAGATTTACCTTTTTAACACATTCACGACAATACGTACCACCGGTGGTCGTAC